ATTCTGACCTGAAAAGTTTTTTTTTAAATGTGGACAAAATAAAGAAACGTCATCTTTTTGAAACCCCCACCTCTAAGTCAGACATCAGCTTCTGCCACCTGTGATGTTGACGTAGACGTGAGCGCAATAATGTGCTCTTTTAAAGGTCGTGTGTTGTTGGGTTGACATTGAGGAAGGCACTGCTGCACCGTGCACTTTGTTATGTCAATGAAAGCATTCGTCACACAGAAAAATGTCTTTCTTCACATGCTAAGACACATTTTCCATTTGAATATAAAGTTATTTGACACATTTAAAGGTTTTTTCCACCTGAAGCACTTGCTGTACGCTACATGCAGAAGATAAAGAGAAGTCCTGAATCCGTTCCAGCTGCTACCACCCAGACAACCCCTGGTTTCTCTGTTTAATACCTTGTTAGACACATCCAACTCCTCTGTGGTACTGCGTTTCACACCCATTCTCCTTCCCTGCTCAGACTATATGAAGCCTTTTATAAACAGGACATCTTATCACTCTGAGCATATTTTTGATAAAGAGCTAAGAAAGCTGCTAAACTTGTGATTCAGCCTCAGCGAGGAGGATGTGCAGCGTCGTCTGCTGCTTTCAGCTGAGCTTTAGCATCGTTTGTCGGAGGGCGTTATGCAACAGGACGTCTTCTCAGGCAGGGCGGCCACCGACGACGCGGTCCCGATTCGTCTCAGTTGTTTCTGCCGTGACTCGAGTTTTTAAACAGGAAATCCGGAGAGCTGAACTTCAAAGGGAGGTTAATTTAGATCCTCTCAGCTTCTCCAGCTCTGCCACAACCTTTCCACGAGTCGAGGAGAGGACAGAATTAAGCCGCATGGAGAAAACTGGATTTAACTGGATTTAATCTGGCTCCACACCTCAGACGGAGTTTGGTTTTGAACACTGCATTAAGACGAATTCACATAAAACAGCAAATAGTAGTTCAGGTCCCTCTTTTACCAAGACTGAATCAGAGTTTCCTGAAGCTGAGGGAAAAGGCAGCATCCTGACACACTCTTCACATGGAAAATTCATGACATTTCCACACGCTGCCAATAAGGAAAGCCACAAGTGTGGTACAAGGCATGTGGGAAAGCCGGTGGATAAAGAGAGCTTAGGGGCCGGGCTTAATGAGGGGGATTAGAGAACTGTGTGAGGCTGACGAGGACGGTGGTGGAGACGGGCTGCAGGACGAGCTCACCTCCACTCCCGGGAAGCCTAAACGGGACAGACCGATATATGGAGCCGGGCTGTAAAACCAGACAGGAGCAATCAATAGATCGCAGGGTGATTCCAACTCACCATCATCTTTTTGATAACCTGCTGAGAGGAGATGGTGTGGGAAGGCAATCATCGGGTTCACCGGGCTTGTTTTCTGGCTCCAGATTCATTTTTCCTTCCCCGTAAAACAACATGAACCATCAGGGATATTCAGAGGGAATGGCGTCATTTTAAAAAGAAATAAAAATGATCACAGTGTCAGAAAACAGAAGTGGGTCACTTCATCCCTTAATCAGAACCTTCTACCTCTCAAACGTGTCTCACACTCTAAAATGATAGTTTCAGCATTCAGCTGTTGTCTGAGTTAGCTAGTTGTTTTATTTTTGAATAGTTTTATCAACAGTCGGACATGGTGGTGGGGTGGCCTGTGATTGGCTCACCAAACTTATGGGCCACTCCCATCTGTACCGGGTCGGCCCGGGCCGGGTAGCCCCAGTCGGCCCCAGCCTGGCCCGGTTGATTCCACACATCCTTGTCTTAAGCCCATGTGGGCTGATTCTACCCACCAATCAGAGGCTTGCTCTAATGGAAGGTGTGAATTTGCTGTCAGCAGTGGGTGTGTTGGCCCTGGTCGGCCTGAAGCAGACCCCCTCGAGAAGAGGGCTGAGAATGAGCCTTGGTTGGCCCGGAAAAATACCAGGCCACCCAGATATGTAAACAACCTACGCTACCCGGCCCGGGCCGACCCGGTACTGATGGGAATGGCCCAAAAGAGTGCTGTGATCGGGCCCGCTGAGGCTCTAATGGGGCGTGGCTACAACGACCCTCAGCTCCCGTCTGTCTAGATTTCTAGGCTAGGGGGCACAACATCATGTTTGTGTTCTTATTTCTCCAAATGTTTTCCGTCGTTGTACAGCTTCTCTGCAACGTTCCTGCCGGCGTGTTTAGATACATTTAGATGCCCAACGAGTCAATGACATCATTTAGAAAATAGCCCTAATTTAGCTCCAGCGCCTCCTCACCATCACTTACTTGATCTCTTTCTCGGTTTTCTCCTTTTCCCTGAGAAGTAAAACTAAAACAAGCACGGTCTAATCCAATGTCATGGCGGCTTTGTCCCTGAGATAATGGGGAAGAACGAGCTCTCCAGTAACGGCAGAAAATGACACCAATTTTCTGGGAGAAGGAGAAAAATAAAGGAAAGAAGCATCTTGGGAGACGGTTGGAGACTAAGTCTTTAAATCACAACTCTGTGGGTTTTACTGATTGTTCCAGCTGAGGGAAGTCGAATCATCCATTCACGAGTTTAGGTGAATTCTGTTAATGATGAAAGAATTTGGGACATTTGTCTCATAATGTTTTCTGCTTTACTTCAGCTTGTTTAAAACTCTGTATAAGCATACAGAAAACCTTGTAGGTTTTTTTTCTTACAACTGTTTTTTTAGCTGCAATCTACTCAGAAAAACAGAATTTAATAATAAATGTAGCTATGGCAAGCCAAAAATCCTAAATGTTTGTGTGAAAACTAAAAACATCCGTTACCAGGTGTAACACAAAAACTTGTAAGACCCCAAAAAGCAGCAGGAGTTCTTTTGGAACCACAAGCTGACTTTAAAAAGTACTTTTCACTGCTTTCATTGTCAAACTGGTCAAAATATTCAAACTATTTTATGAAGATTGAGCTCCATAATTACACTTATTAGTGAGATTTGAGCCTCCCAATTAGTACTGACTGGAATCAGATTCAACCAACAGGAAACTAGTTTCATGTAAATTGTGTTGAAATGTTAAACGTCTTCTAAAAAAACTAACATTTTTAAAATCCAAAAGCTTTCCAGCTCCAGCAGACAGAGCATTTTCAACTGTAACCTAACTGAACTTCTTATTAATAATACTAATAATTATTATTATGATAATATATACAACTATACAAAAAATAACTATAAAAATAGTAGTCATAATAATAATAGTAATAATAATAATAATTATTATTATTATGATTATTATTATTATATATACAAATATACAAAAATATAATAATACTAGTAATAAAAATAGTAATAGTAATAATAATAACAATAATAATAATAATAATAATAATAATAATAATAATAATATCATGGTAATAATAATATTAATAGAAATATTAGTAATAACAAAAATAATATAATGATAATAATAATAATTATTATATTATTATTATATTTATAATAGTAGCAGTAATAATAATAATAATATCATGGTAATAATAATATTAATAGAAATAATAATAATAACAATAATAATATAATGATAATAATAATTATTATTATATTATTATTATATTTATAGTAGTAGTAGTAATAATAATAATAATGGTAATAATACTAATAATAATAATACTGATAATAATAGTTAAAAAAATAATAAGAGACTATCTGTATCTACTGTAAGTATTTTCTTAAGAATGTGAGTCTTTTGTGGTCTTTCTGATGTATTTGGTGAACTAAGTAAGAGCTTCTGAGTGTTTTATGGTGATTTAGGACAAATGTGGCATCTCCAGTCATTTTCCTAGAGGAAAAGAAAATTAAAAAAGGGTCGGGAGTCGATCTGTCAGACAGTTTCAGTTGTCACAAACAATAAGCCAAATAAAAATAGAAAGAAAACAGTGTGAAAAATGTTTGGTGTCAGTGGAAACGACTCCAAGTGCTGCAAAGGGCTGACAGCAGAGCGAGCCTGTGACTGATGCACATAAATGTGGGTTTGAGCGGCTTTTAGGTTTAGAAGTGGAACAGCTCCAGTGATGAGGAGGACTCGTTTTAAAACATCTCCTTCCAAACGGGAGGACACCTCCCATGGTGCCGTTCTTCAGAGTTTCACATGTTAGCAAAGAACAGATTTTACTTCACTTCCACATCCTGAAATCGCAGCGATCAACCACTAAACCCCAAGTGTGAATTTTGCCAAGCGACACTTCTATGCTTCTTTGACACGACGCTTCGTGGCGAGGGGGAAAACACACCCATCAGTGAGAAAGGAGCATTCGGTGGATCACCATGGCTAGGAATAGTTCACCTCCAGGATGCTCACCTTCCAGAAAGTTCTAATTGTGTCTCACCAATCTAGAGAACGTTCTCCCAGAAGTTGTGGGAATCCTTGTTTTTGTTTGTTTTGTTGTTTTTGGTTGTTTTTGTAACAATGCAACTTTTGGTGAGCTGATCCAAGGAGACCTCAGGCCCATGTGAGGAATGGGGAGGGAAGGGCAGAGCATCTGTCTGCATGATCATCCAGGGGCGCTTGGAGATGATCAGCCTTCCAAGGCCAACACGGGGGGAGCCAGATTCAGAGAACCAGTTGTTTTGGTAGAGGCTAGAGCATGCAGGGGTGAGCAATCCTGGCCCTCGAGGGCCACTATCCAGCCTGTTTTAGCTGTTTCTCTGCTTAAACACACCAGGTTTGAATCTGCTGGTGATTGACAGGCTGCTGCAGAGCCTGATGAGCTGCTGAACAGGTGATTCATCCAGGAATCGGGTGTGTTGGAGCAGGTAAACAACTAAAACCTGCTGGACAGCAGCCCTCCGGGACCAGGATTGCTAGAGCTTGCTGTGTTTTGTTTTTGCCAAACAAAAAAACAAGAACAGAATAAAATCTGACAGAGAAAACAGCTTCTCACAGCCTTGTGTACCAGCAGGAATGAGAATCGTGTTTTACATTCATGGATCGGGTCAATCAAGCTGCATCACACTGTGGCATCAATGCATCAAACGAACCGCCCACATCACATTTCTACTCACAGCTCCAGGTGCGGTCAGGTCAGGTATGCAAACTCATGTTGATTCATGTGAAGAAGATGGGATCCGACAACAGTCTGCAGCTCCCTGACCACATTAGTCTTTATTTGTCTGTAGAGTCACCTGCAATGAGAAAGGCAGAGGCACGCGTGAGGGAAGCTGTGGGGTTTTAATGTGAACAAAGTGTTAAATAAAGATGAGGCAACAGCACTTCCTGTCTGAGCCCTGGCATCTGGTCTTAGTGGATCAGATATGAAACGCACTCCTTAGAGAGCGGGATGAGACAGATCACACCTCCTCAGCTCGTTCTGCCGCTCACACCCAAGCCTTTGATTTCAGACTCTTGACTTTAAGGGTCAGTTGGAGGAAAAGAATTCAAAAGGTCAAACAGTGGAAGATCCACATGCATATCAAAGCGCTCCTTCCCGACAAAACGGATGCGTTTATAAAGGGAGAAAACACCCAAACGCCTCGTTAAAAAGCTGCGGCCATGTCAGAGAACGTGTCCTCGCAGAACCCGCCGCTGCTTTCATCCTAATGAGAGCAGATAAAAGCTCACAGATAAAAGATGGACAGAACAAGGTTTCATAAAGTTTACTCAGAAGAGGACGGTTTGTTCTGGTTCCAGGCGGCGCTGGACAAGGTGAATAAACAAACGCCGTCTTTAAGTCCCACTGCAATTAATCCCGTCTGATACAAGTCGGTAAGAGCAGGACTCTGCTTTCGAGTCACTTCTGAATCCCCCCGACGTTTGAAAGAAGAGGAAACGCTGCTGTGGATGAAAGTGAAACGGTGACCGCAGTCAGATTGTCCTTCGTTTGTTGTGTTTCCATTTAAAACCCACAGGATTATAATCTCACTCACTTTGGATTAAGCAGGCAGGTGTTTGACAACACTGTAAAAAATGAACTCATTATTTCTAAGTGGGAACTAATGAATCACAGACTAAAGGTTTTTGATCCTTATATTGATTCACTTCTAATTAAAAGTTACTGAATATCTGATGATCAGATATTGATTTGTTACCAATAAAATCCTTAAGAAACTAATAAAAATCTAATTAACAGTTCAAAACTCCTGACCTTTTTCATTAGGTGAATATTAAATCCCTCAAGTTCAACCAATAGTCAGCTATAAAGCATAACTTTAATAATGTAAACACTCGTTAAATGTTTTCCTCGTTCTTTAGGGTCAGGGTCAGGGTACAGATGGCATTTCGACCACCGCCGCGTTGCTCGTCACTCCTTACAGAGTTAGCATGGGATTTCATAAGGACTCCACACTGATGTACTACTGATATCTTGTCTTTTGGGTGGACTACTAGCCTTTTTCTAACTGTTGTGTATGGATACCTGACACGGGCAATAAACAAAGGAAAACAACAAACAACAACAGAAAGCAAAGACCAACCAAAACAAAGAACCAGAAATCCAGAAAGACAAGAACCAAAACCAGTGACCCTTCCATACATCACGGGCATAACAGCTAAATAACAGCAACAATGAAATAATACAACATAAATACACAAACAAAACCACACACAAGAAAGACTAACACACTCAAAAGTGTGGAGTCATTTACGAAATCCCATGGAAACTAAACATGAGCCGAAGACACGCAAGAGCAGCAAGAGCAGAAGCAGGAAGTACGATAAAGAAATCATTCGTGAGAGACAAATGTGTATTGTTGTTTTTACAAGAAACACACAAATAGTAAACAAGTTAAACTTAACAGTTAAAATCAAGTTTTTCTTCCAGGTTTATCTTTAAGGTTCAAATCTTATCATTAAAACATTTTATTAGTTTATTTATTAGGGAATATTACGTGTTTCACTAAATTATTAGCAGGATGAGCTAAATAAATACCAGGAGAATGTAAATGTTAATAAATGATTAAGTAAATAACTTTAAGACTTTAAGATTATTTTTCATGAGATTTTCTTCCCGTGTTCTTTTATTGAAACAAACAAAATATTTTTTCTTTTCATTTTTTTTTTGTATTTCAGTTTTTAAACAGTGTGGTGCACATGGACTGACTTAAAACGTTTACTAAAATAAAATAAAATATAGTAATGTAAATAAATGTGGTCACAAAACAGTTAATATTAAAAACCTTCACTGTGTACTTTAGCTAAACCATTAAATAAACATTGGTAAAAAAAAAAGATCAGACCAGATAAAACTAGATTTCTTCACAAAGAGATGGTGGGCATTCTCTATTCTATTCTATTCTATTCTATTCTATTCTATTCTATTCACAAATGTGTTAAAAAGCTGCTTGTTAGGTTTTTTTATTCAGTTCTCAGGTTCTGCCGATATAACATTCCCAAAACCAAATATGATGTTTGTTTATTCATGTGGGAATTTCACATCCATCTGAAAGCATTTATTTATTTATTGTTGTGTTTTTTGTAGAATTGAGAATCAAATGTGGTTCTAAAAAATCTAAACGGCCTTTTATCGGTGATCTGATTCTTGAGCAGAGGCGTAAAAACTGATGTTGCTGCAAACTGCAAATCTAGTAAGTTAACCATTAGAACTCAGAGCGTTAACTGATTGGACGCTGAAGCCAAACGGGAACACATCTGCATAAACTCGCTCTGTCGGGGCTCTTCTGCACTGGACTTAAGTGCGCTTCGGAGCTGCGGGCCCCAAGCCTGATCCAAGCCACAGCTGATTTGAATCAACGAGGGATTAAAAGGCTCATGTCCAGATTGAGGTCATGATGAACATGCGGGTAATTCAGCCGGGTGTGTTGGAGCAGAGAAGGATTGGACGGTTCCTATAAAGGTCCCAGTACTTTAGAAAAAGTGAAAGAGACTCAGAAACAAGCGCAGACATTTCTAAAACAACAAACGAAGAATCTCATGTATTTATTTGCAGATTTACACGTGATTACAGCAAAATCTACCTTTAGAATCAGTTTATTCAAGGTAGTTGCATATCTGGGCTGCACAGTGGCGCAGTGGTTGGAGCTGTTGCCTTGCAGCGACAAGGTCCTGGGTTCGATTCCCGGCCCGGGATCTTTCTGCATGGAGTTTGCATGTTCTCCCTGTGCATGCGTGGGTTCTCTCCGGGTTCTCCGGCTTCCTCCCACAGTCCAAAAACATGACTGTTAGGCTGATTGGTCTGTTTAAATTGTCCTTAGGTGTGTGTGTGTGTGTGTGTGTGTGTGTGTGTGTGTGTGTGTGTGTGTGTGTGTGTGTGTGTGTGTGTGTGTGTGTGTGTGTGTGTGTGTGTGTGTGTGTGTGTGTGTGTGTGCGTGTGTGCAACTGTTTGTCCTGTGTGTCTCTGTGTTGCCCTGCCATGGACTGGCTCTCTGTCCAGGGTGTCCCCCCCCCGCGCGACCCCACGTGGACAAAGCGGGTTCAGAAGATGGATGGATAGTTGCATATCTGCACCAACAGCCAAACATGTACCAATAAGAAGCTTATTTCTAAAATAAACACTCACTCCAGAGTGGGAAATAAAGATTTATCATTGTCAGAGGAAAGCCACACCTGTGAGAGAGCGACACACACGGTCATCCAGAGGAAATCTTGGAGCTAAAGTCTCATATTAACAGATGTACAGACACAGCGTTGGGTAACAGTGGGGTTTCACTAAGCTGCAGAGATTTCCCGTCTCTCCGGGCTGTAGCCAGAACATTTCTGCTTTCACTGTCGGAACACAATATGGCTAATGAGATTCCCGAAGCCGCGAGCAGAGAGCTTCATCTCCGCATAAACCCACCTGAAGCACCTTGAGTGCCACGGTTTTCTTCCTTTAGGAGCACGTAGGGCAAGCTGTTGTAAAAATTCAAGCAGATTTCAGGCGGCTACAATTCTACGGTGAGTAATTGAGATGCTGCTGTTGGCAAACAAGCCTCGCAGGTCATCAGCAGCCGTGACTCTGGGTAAGAGTTGATGTAACAAAGAGAAAGAAGGCACACCGAGCAGGGTTCGGTTTCTGCAGACTTTTTAGTTTAGCTACACAAGCAAGTCTGGAAATGTCACAAACCAGATACAACTTTCTGCAAAAGGAAGTATTTAACCTGCAAAGCCTCTGAATGCTTTACTTGAAATAAGTGATCAATCAAGAGTGCATGAACTAATTTATCCGCTCCCTACGGTGTCGATGGAGACAGATGGAGGAAGCCAAGAAATGATGTAAATGCTGAGTTTACAGTAAAGCGTGAATCCAGTGTTTACGTTCAGTCAGTTATGAGTAAGATTACACCTTCAGCAGCTCTTCCGTCGGCTTCTCAACCGCGTTCACAACAAAACCGGAGTACGGCAACAGCAGCATGACACCTCTTAATGCTAATGAGGGAAAATAAGTGTAAATCACACACAGATGTGAACCTAAACAGGCCGAAATGCAGCTAATGCAGGAAAGAACGTGCTGCATCCGAGCCACAAATACACTAACGGCTAATTCTGATCATTTAAATTCTTCTACTTTGCTCTGAGCAGCCTCAGTTTGGAGAAATAGACCAGTTCTGAGCGGCTTAGTGTTTGATCTGAAGACTAAAGGAAGAGCCTGCAGTAAACCGAAAAAGGATTTAACAATAAAAATATATTAAAATGTGTCACAAACAGCTAACTTTGTCCCTCGTTTCCACAGTAAAGAACCATTCTCAAACACTTTTCAATAACATTTCCAAAAATATCTGAACTATTCCTTTAACTTTTGCATGGGGCGACGCCTGACTCGAATCCAGACTTGTGTCTCGTTCACACCGAGTATTGAGTGGGTTTGGTTTGGTACGACTTCCAGACAGACCGCCGTTCTCACCGACTGCTCGGCATGTGCTGAACGTCTGGAAATTCCCACTAAATAAGAAATCTGTCACAATACGTTTAAAGCTAGAAAGAAGATGCTGAACAAACACAAACCAGTAACCATTTCTTTTCTTCGAGGGGCTAAAAAGTCAGTACAAGCAGCTAAATAATAATAACAATAATAATCTAATAATAATAATAATAATAATAATAATCTAACTGTAACGGAATGAAATGACCGTTTTTTTCCTCTTCTCTGCACAGAACTAGTCTGCATGAGAGATGGTCTCAAGGTCTCATGCAATCACTCTAACCTGCTTATTTTCAGCTCAACAGAAGAATGAACTCTTTTCTTTTAATA